GACCTGAAGTTCGTTATTCAGCTACGGATCGGGAGGCACTGGCAGTAGTAGAATCAGTTAGGTATTTCGAGCCTTACCTATTTCAGCGGCATTTTGTAATCTACACAGACCATCGAGCGTTAACACACATATTTAAAAAGCGAACAAAATGCCCACGAATGTCACGCTGGTCTCACGAACTTTCGGCCCACTCATTCCAGATCTTGTACAAGCCTGGTCCAGCACATGTTGTGCCAGATACGCTAAGTAGAAATATAGCGGCAATGCAGATTAATAAAAATATTGAAACCATTCCATCAGATAAAATGAGAGAATACCAGATGAACGAGCCTAGATGGAAAGAAATTATTGAGTATTTAGAGGGAGGAAAATACCCGAAAAAGAAAAAGAATTTACCTATACATGATTTTGAGATGAAACAGGGCGTCCTGTATTATGTTAACAGCCAGAATGATAGGGCAGTATTTCAGCTAGTTATTCCGGACGCGTTGCGGTCATCAGCGTTAAAGCTTGCACATGCTTCAAAGATTGCAGGGCATCCGGGGATCTTTAAAACGCACTTAAAAGCAAAGTCTCTATTTTATTTTCCAGGATTACTTTCTGAGGTAATCAATTTCGTGAAGTCGTGCCCTCGTTGCCAGAGGAGGAAAGGTACCCTTAAGGTACAAGCCCCACTTCAGGAATTTCCTGAAATTCGTGAACCGTTAGATCGTGTGGGGGCCGATCTGATTGATTTACACCACAGTCATTCAGGTAACAGATATGTGTTGGTGCTAGTTGACCATCTGTCTAGATACACTACACTAGTTGCATTACCTCAGAAGGATTCTCGTACGGTTGCAGATGCGTTCTTGCGTAGGTTCGTTACTGTATTCGGACCTCCTAAAGTTTTAGTCTCTGACCGGGGTCAAGAATTCAATGGGAATATATTTAGAGAAGTTTGTAAGATTTTAGAGACAACTTCGGCTTTTACAACGGCCTACCACCCACAAGCAAACGGAATGACGGAACGGACTAATCGTTCAGTCAAGGATATGCTTGCAATCCTTGCTGAACATGATGCAAACACCTGGGATGAACACCTTCCCTATGTTCAGTTCGCCTTGAATACTGCCATCCACCAATCAATTAACACCCAACCACTTCATTTGTTTACTGGTAATTCATGCAATTTCCCGTCAGGTCTGCTTAACAGACATAATGTTGCATACGGGGAGGACTATCCTTCAGAGGTCCTTGGAAAAATGAGAAATGCATGGAATATTGCAGCTGAAGCGTCCAAGAAGGCACGGACTCGGTATGCTCATTTTTATGACAAGAAAGTGCGCCCTCTTGAGTTGAAGGAAGGAAGCCTCGTATTGAGAGTGAATGAGGCTGCGCCCGCCAATCAGAGCAGGAAACTAGCTCCGAGGTGGCGAGGACCATATAGAGTAATTAAAAGGGCGGGGCCGGTTAATCTTGTTATAAAAGGAGTGTTCGAGGACCAGGTGGAAAGGACAATTCACGTAAATAAATTGAAACAATATCATGCTAGAGAGGAATTAGAACTGCCTTCAGCGGGTCTAGTTCCTGACTCAGCAGTGCTGACTCATGGCTTCACCGACGAGTCAGAAGATGAGGATGACCCTCTGTCATCGCTCATCAGTAGTCAGGTGCAGTCTCGCCACCCTATGGTGACGAGATCTCGCGCTATACAGTAAAGTAACTTCCTTAGTTAGTATAATTTAGTATTGATTAGATTTTCCTGTAAAGGCAATGAGATGTACTATGTCTATACTTGACTCAGGTAGCAACTTTTACCGTGCTCTGGGGTTCCACCTCCACCAAACCCAGAGTATATCTATGCTTCCGCTGTGTTGTGTCTGTCTGTTCCCAGGTCTGATTGGTACACCGACCCAGTTGTTCCAGCCACACGTGAACCCTTGTCTGTAAAGACCGAGGGGGGAGGCACGTTACACAAAGCCCTCCCCCCACCAGACCCAGTAACCCATACATCAGTTACTTTGGGGATGAGTGACTGTCCAAGAGTCACCCGGCCGACGCCTCACGTCACTAACGAGGTTGTCAGGGCCAGCGAGCTGTCCACATTATAGCAGTCACCGGAGGTGCCATACAACGCCGGGGTAGCTGTCTCGAGATCACCACTACCCACCTGCTGCGTCATCAAGACTGCAGCCATTCCAGCAGTGTTGGAGGAGAGGTCAAGAAATGGAAAGCACGTAGCAGTACTCAAGAATTTCGCCGGAAGATTAATGATTACGTCATCTGAAGTAACAAGAAAGCAGAAGTAAGGCGGTCACAGGTGGAAGGCACGGTTTCCCTACAGAGTACCGGGACTCGCCAATAGAAGGTCGCAAAATTGTCTCCTTTGGCCTAAAGTCGGCGGTACGAGGGTATGCACAGTTGGTGTTTACGGCCTAGTAACCTGGTGACATCAAGAAACGCCTGAGATGACGTGAGCAATGATGGAAGACGAGATTCACCTGTTCTGCAAACAAGCAACCCGCCTCTACGACCTTCTGACACCACTCCTGCTAAGAGACACCGTTGGTACATCCAGTCCTGCTCTGCTGTGGTCATCTGCGACGTCAAGTTTAACATCAAGACTGCCGTGTGAACTGTGATTGATACGAAGGCGTGTGGACTGTCGAGAGCAAGATTAATGGCCGAAGTAACAGTATTCTACAGCTGTCACTTGGCACTCCGCTCTACTACACTCTGTCGTCATTCAGGAGTACCGGATGGGAGTACAAGAGGACCAGGTATTGATGTCTACACATGAAGAAGCAAGATCGACACCGTCATCGTCAGCGACTACATTCAGCATCCAGCAGCATCGATTTTTTTTTCGATTACTCAATATGAACAATTGATACAAACAACAAAGTGGCTCTGAACATCTGTGTAAAGAACATCTGGACACTTTTGGTTAAATGTTGAAAAACAGATTTAAAATAATAATTCTGGTATAATATATGAATTTTACTCTATAAATTGGTCAGTAATCAAAATCGAAGCCCCTGTGTAATTGTCTCAGCCCAGAACAAACGGTTATGGAAAATTATGTTGTGTGCTATTTTTTTCAGAATGTTTGAACACAGGAGAGGCGGACCAATATAAACATTGACACTTCTAGTGAGTGAGAACACTTGGCTGTACAGTCAGCTGAAACCTGTGATATAGTATAGGAATTTTTTTTTATATTTTTAGATACATGTAATAAACGTTAGGTGTGTTCCTTAGCATGTCAAGGTTGACATTGATGGGGAGTGGGTAGTACACGGATGTGAACTGATAGTTCCGTAGTACGCTCCCGGATGACTGAAAGTTCAGTCTGATGATATAACTTTAATGTTTGTTTGAGCACGGTGTGGCCGGCTCTAGAGGACACATGGACTTGGCTAGTGAAGAGCCAAGAGAGTTTAATAGCTAGTTTTTGATGGTAGAGTAGGGCCATGTTATTCAGCTATGTCAGTAAGGGTAGGATGTATGTTTCCTGATATTGGAGGATTGCTGTCAGTTGACAGCTGAGAAATTTATGAAATATGAACATGTTCATTATGATGTTGGACTATTATTTGTCAAATTTTATTAGTTAGGTTAGCTTTTGTTTGTGGCATGAGTTGAATTGTGGGTTTGGATACTAAACCTCGTGAATTTTAACAAATTAACAAGGTTTACTAAGTGCTTGTGCGGGGGGGTTGTAACAGACTAGGCTGTTGTAAGAATTATCCAGAGTGGTTTATCGACAAAAGAGAATGGGAAGCTGAGCCGCATGGTGACCTGACCCCCAGGGGAATTCGCGGTGGAAATAACCGACGCTTTGTTCATATCTGCGTATAATGAATCATCCTATAGTATTCAGGAATTTAGAGAAAATTAGCCTTTATTCATTTTGCATTAAAATTGTATTGTATAATAGTACTGGGTACAATATCAAGAGTATTCTAATTATTGAGTTTAAGTCACCATCAGTGACGTCACGAATCAGATCTAACTTTTGAGGCGGAGTGACCGGCGGTCATAGGTCAGCAGGGTTGACATGTCTAATATTTCTCAAAGTTTTAATAACCATTTTTGTGATCGGGAACAGCTCTGCCGTTAGATGTTTGTAATTTAATTCAGTAAAATAATTCAACCAGTCTGGATCAATTCAGTATAAACAGAGGATAATTGTTATAACTTAACCGTGCTAAAGTAACTGGGTAAGCGATGCGGAACAATACAAGGTTCTAGTCTGGGCTAGGCCAGACGAGGACAAGTCAGTGTGGTCACGGAAGCAGCTAGGAGAGGTCAAACATCTTACCTCTCCCCTAGACCAGCCAAGACCAGCTGGTCGCCCAAGGTATAGTTGCTATTGTTAATTATAGAAATAGTCTTCTCATTTGCCACTCAGGTCAAGTAGGGAGTGTTAAAGTAATAGGGAGTGAACATATTTAGATTTTGTTTTAGTTTTCTTTTAATAAATTAAATTTGTTATTAATTTGCATTTTATTGTTTCCATGTGTTTTATGTGTATACTTGTCCTGGTCACGTGGTCCACACGAGGCAGAGTTGCATTGGGCGCCGATTCTAACATCGAATCGGAATTATCATTACCGTGTAATTTATTCCACACTCAAGGTCATCGTTTATAGTGGGGATCAAGCCCCTAGGTTGATTAATTAGCGTGATCGATCCAGACCTCGATCATTGCTCTTGTATTACTGGTCTGGTGGTGGCAGCAGAGGTGACTCTAGGGTTTTGTTCAGAGCTTAGGTCACGTCATACTGGGTGTAGAATCCTAAGTCGGTCAATCGTCTTAGGACCACGTGGCGTGGAGTTGGCTTTGGTAAAAGTTTTGGAGTCCCTTGGTTTAGAAATAAAAGTAAGAATACGGGTAGAGGGAGTAGAAAGAAGGAAGTGAAAGAGAGAGGAACTCCAAACCCATGTTACACCAGAGTGGCTAGCTTCAGAGGTTTCTTGTTCATTACGGGAAAAATACTGAAGACATAACTAACCTGATCATTTGCTCCAGCTCATCTTTCTGTTCAGCATCAACAGCAGCCATGATTTGCAATGGAGACCGTGGCACAGGTAGCGGGGCATCAGAAGAACTCAACGACTGGCAATATTGGGCAATCAGTCCATGCTCGTCCTCACTGGTGGAACAAATATTATACCAATTATAATTGAGAATGGTTACAGTTGAGAATTATAACTGATTAAATAAGAAGGGTCACAAACATTTTATGACCAAATATGTATTGCAACTTTTATTAATTTTAGCATAGTACATTAATTCACTTTTCTCTTTACTTGTTGAACACTTTCACAAACCTGTCAGGAGTAGAATTTGAGTTTGTTCTAAGCTCGACCTCGGCCAGACGAGAAGCATACAGTTCTAGGCGTGAGTGCATGTCTTGGCTGGTGACGTTGTGCTGAGGGGATGGTGATGGTGACTCTAATGGATCGCCCTTAAGGAATATTGAAGCATTAACTTCTATTGATATTTACATTATCAGAGACTTTTATCATCCCTCCCACTATATAATTAAAAGGTTAAGCCATTACAACCACCTTGGTATTGATACTTATTGTTGTATAATAATAATATCCATTGCACTTGGAATTCTATTTGTTTATTGTTTGGTTGACAATAGGTTAAAAAATAATGCTCCTGGATGTGTCTTAATCATTAGGTATGTGAAATCTCATGATCCAAATTTTGTTTTCTTGCATTGTGTTTACATTTGAATTCATGTATGAAGCTATTCTCAGTGTCTTATTTTCTGGTACATGTGTATTTTATCGTAAGTATTTTAACATTTCTAGACATTTTTGCACCAGTAACTTCCTGCCAACCTTGCTACACATTTTTTTTTAGCTTATACTGTAATTATGATGTCTATTTCTGCCTCCTTCTGGTTTCAAAAACTCTTCCCTGTCTTATTTGTGTTTCCTTCATGCAAGTCTTGGAGTAGAGCACAGTATATGTAGATTTTTGTAATTCTTTATCTAGAATATGTCATTTATTTTGATGTTATTCATTAAATCTATGGCTCTTTCCTTTGATACCAATAAACACAAAACATTTAACTGGAAATACAGTATACTATAAAAAAAATATATAAAATTTGAATTCAATTGGTATGCACCAAAATTGTAATTAAAGACATCTTGGATATTGACAAAGTTTTGTGTTTATAAACAATCTCTTCCTTTAGCTACTGTAGAGTTTTGATGATACTTACTTTAATAAAAAATTATTGTAGTAAATAATAGATTATAATAGATTAGCTTTACTTTAAAATTACATTATCTAATTTTTTTTGCAGTAACCAACCAACCAATTTATTCAATTAGGGCCAACAACAATAGTATCAATGCCTAGTCATATTTCTAGGACCCATCAGGTCCATCATTATCAATAATAGATTAGTGACTGAAGTTACAATTATAGAATTCAGCAACTACACAAATTACGTTAGACATTTTTACACCAACATCGGTAAATTACTTATAATTTGTAATGCCGATACATACAATTTTGGGTGACATCAAGTATTCTTACCTCCAGTACAGTTTGCACTGGTAGATAGCCCTTCTTGGTATGCTTTTGCAGAGATCTTTTTGACTTGAATTTATTCTTGAGTGCTTTCGTAAAATCTTTCACATCTTCGCCAGCAGTAGTCTGTAATTTGTATCATTATTAATGATGGTATAATTAGTACCATTATGGTAATTATGATAATGTGGAGTACAAAAATATAATCTTGGTACAGTACTGTATATCAAGACTACAATACTAGACAGCATTTTTATATTAAAAACATAGAGGATATTACTCTCCAGGTAATTTAATACTAACCGCTGTGCAGTACTCGTGCATGGGGTGTGTAATTTTGTGGCTCTTGCCACTCCTTCCATCGAAGAAACACCGCTGGCACATGTCAAAGCTCAAACACTTGAGACATCGGTATCTCAAGCCTACAATTGGATAAGCTTTGCAGATGTTGCATTTAACCTGTAAATAAGGTTAAATTATTGTATCAAAATATTATGGAAGATCTTACACCAACATAATATCATATGGACCCCTGCATTGAAATTCTTTGGGAAAAAAATATACTTGTTATACAAAAATATATTGTACTGAGAAACAATTACATTCATGATAATATTAGAATCAAGTACAATACTAGTTTGGATATTTTGCTCTATGTTCTCAGATATTTATCCATACCTGATGCTGAATGCTTTCTGAAGCAGCAACACGATGCAGGACAGCCAGCCACACAAGTGACTGAGGTTCCTGCTGCACCCATGTCAGGAAATGCACAGCCTGTGAAACAACATGTACCTTGAATATTTGTATTATGCAGTTAGTCTTATAGTACACCATATTCAGATAGGGTGTACTATAGATATATAGTCAAGATATAATTCATCATATCTGGGGGGACAGGAATGGAATGGAAGAATCAGGAGGCCATTTCGACTATCACAGGGAAGGGGTCAGGATAAGGATTTGGGATAGGAAAGGAGGGGGTAAAGGAATGGTGCCGAACCACTTGGAGGGTCGGGGATTGAACGCCGACCATGCACGTTAGGCTTATATCAAGGGTCCCCCATCCCCCTGTTCCCCAGGTCGAATTACTGACTCCGCCCAGGAGGCAACCACACAAGTTGACTAACTCTTCAAGAGTTATTATTACTAATTATTATTAATAACTACTGTAGTTATTACTACACCCTACTTATTGCTAGGTGAATAGCGGCATTAGGTGATAGGAAATGTGCCCAATTACTTCTGCCCTGCTCGGATATTTTGATATTGGTAACCACATTCTAGAGGTGAATAATGTATTTCCAGATACACAATACTGTATATACTTTAAATAACTTATTTTTATTTTTCCATCTTCATCTTCCTAAAGATATAACTGCTTCAGAGGTTTTATTAAATAACCCTTGAAATAATAAACAAGTAATGAGGCTAAATCTGCAATGTTAGTGTAAATTTACAAGATTTAATTATTAGATTATTTCCTAATAATATTCAATTTCTCGATTGTCAGAATCGAGAAATTGTATTTTTGTTTATAATTTTATGGCAACAAGTAGTGTACACGTTTAATAACCACTGATTATACATTGGCACCTCGATTAACGACCAGCTCTATCTACGAGCATTTTGAGTAACATGCGAGCCACTCGCAGAACATTTGTCTCTACTAATGAGCTTTTCCTTGATTAACGAGCATTTCCGCTGGTTCTCGGACACCTTTTACGACAGTTTTGTTCTTGTTTTGCAAGACAAGTTTTCCACATGACGAGCTCGGTGCCGGAACAGATTAAACTCGTTAATCGAGGTGCCACTGTATTTGTGATTATACTTTTGTATGTAGACTTTGTAGGACCTGCATATGCATCTTGAAGTTCTAGTATATTTTAAGAGGTACATTACATGACTTTTGCAATGCCAGTTAACTGTACAGTATTTATAACATGTACAATTAAACAGTATACAGGTACCCCAAAATCTAAACCTCAAAATAGCAGACGCTAACAGGGTTGAATTGAAAACTGTCTTGATTGTTTGACCACGTAGAAGCAGATCCCATAAAAAATGCTGGATAATATCAGGATCTAAAGATTTACTGATATATATTTTAAACTCATTAATGCATTAATATTTTCATTTATTTTTAAGTACAATTCTTACCTCAATTGTTTCCCTGTCCTTGCCAGCTTTAGTAAAGCAACTGCGGACAGATGGCTCAATGTTAGATCCACCGAAGGCAGCTACCTCGCCTAGCTGTCGAGGTACTTGTACACAGTCATGTAGCAAGAGACCAAGCTTCCTCTGGTCCACAAGGCGATTTGGGTCCGCAATCAACCGGAACATATCTGAAGAACCCAAATTATTTAAATTGGCATCAGGTTACATAAGTAGCATCCCTAATTGTGCACAGATTTTTGTTTAATAACTTCTTTATATTAAATGAGCCTAAACAAATTATGCACAATATACAAACTTGCAAATTATTTCTTAATCACTTGCAAATTGTCATCAAGAACTGTACACAATATATTTCATTCAAAGTAAAAGTGCCCAACCACTTGGGCTGGACGGTAGAGCGACGGTCTCGCTTCATGCAGGTCGGCGTTCAATCCCCGACCGTCCAAGTGGTTGGGCACTATTCCTTCTCCCTGTCCCATCCCAAATCCTTATACTGTCCCCTTCCCAGTGCTAAATAGTCGTAATGGCTTAGCACTTTCCCTTGATAAAGTAAAAGTAAATTTAGTATTAATACACTGTACAGTATATATATTCTTACACTGACCATACATAGGAATACAAATCTTGAACCTAATATTTTAATAAATTAACTTTAATAATGCTTTATAAACTGAATATTTGAACTTTGCAAGTAACAATCATTTGGAAACTAACGATTTCTTAACCCTTTGGCTGCTACATATTTTTCAGCTTTAATGCTACAGATGGTTGAAAAGCAGTCAAAAAACTAAATTTTCATATTACATATTTCATCTAGTAAGAAAAAACTTTTTCCAGCGGTGCAATTAAATAAAAAAATTTTAATTGTGACACAAATTAAAACAAAATTGAGAATGGGGGTGGGGGGGGGGGGGAAGAAGGGGGCTCTGGTGGATTTTTCTTCATTTGCCATTAATCACTTCAGGCCAGAAAATGGTGAACTAGTTTTGAACACAAAGATGAATACAGTTCCTGTACATACTAAAGAAAAGCTCTCTCCAAACTTATTGATCACCTCCATATTGTACAAAACATGTAAAACATTTAAACTTTAATAACATACCTTATTACAATTTTATATACAGTATTTATTTTTATTTTGCACACAAATAAGTATTCACCTAGTTGGTGAATACTTTGTAGGACCTGCATATACTGTTATTTGTGTGTAAAATGGTATTGAATATTGTGAGGTAATATAGTGAGGGTTTGAAGAAAGCATATTTGGGGTGATAATTGATTCAGTTCCCAGGGCCCTCTTTTAAAGGTTAGAGAGCTTGGTCAAACAAACAAAATTCTATTTACCACTGTCATTTAGTGGTCGATTCACAAAAATATGACTATCATTTAGCACAGCCAAAGAGTTAAACATACTCGCTGAGAATACAAATGCAACTTACATCTATATTTTTCTTCAAGATGACCCCTACAAAGACAAACCAGCCCAATCTTGAATGAGAGCACTCTCATTTGCCCTGTTCTCTGGCTGTCATACACATTCAGAAGCCAGTTAAGGCAAAGATCCATTGCTAGAGTTGTGTTGACATCAGGGTGGTCAGCTGATATATTGGCATACAGAGCAGAAAGTACCACCACCATGTCGCCAACGTCAATCAAACGGTCGTTTTGGCCGCGTAAGCCATGTTCGTCAAATATATCTGTAGCCATCTGCATTTTGGCACGATCCACTGTTTAAAAAAAAAAAAAAATTAAGGATGATCAAATATATATACACGTATATATATAATACATAGCCAGACAACAAAGGCACTTGGAAGGGGAGTGTAACATGTTCCTAAAAGCAGTCATTTGACCAAGATTATAGTGAAGAAGAGACTACCCAAGCAAAGCTCTTATTCTGTAGCACACATTATAATATATATATATCTCATATATAGATTTACTCATATCATATAAAATATATACTCTATATCATACATATTGAGTATATAGATATACTCAATATGTATGGATATGAAGTAGAGTAAATCTGAACTGGGAGGGGAGGGGGTGTTGAATAAGAGGATGTGTGTCAGAGTGGAGTGAAGTGACAACTTGAACTACTACTGTTACTTCATATTTGTAAATTATATCCCAAAAGAGGTAGGAGCATGCATAACAATATTTTATATACACTGTAAAGATCAAAGAGTGACTGCAAGATTAAACAGGGGTTACCTAGACATACAAAAAGATATACAACTACTAGAGTTAAATCCCAAAAAGTAAAATATATAAATGAGTTATAAGAGGTGGAAAGGAAGCCAAAAGGACTGTACAATATATGGGGGAGCGAGTTGCAGAAATCAAAAAAAGGAAAAGTTCCTGGGAGCATATATAATGCCAACCTTAACACTGTAGGCACATCAACATAATAGCATCGGCAGTACACTGTATGCAAAACTAGTGAACATGACGATGACATTAAAAATTTAAGACAGGAATCCTACAGAGCACTGTTCACTGTATATTGGACTATTCTTCGAATATGCACCTTCAACATGGAATCCACATACTTGATAAAGCACAACAAAATTTATAGTCCATGACAGTTTGTAGAAATGGGTAAGAGAAATTAGGTATAATAGTATTAGAAGAGAAGCACCACAGACAATATTCTCGCAAGATACTGTACTAAGAGGAATAGACAAGGAGGATGAAACCAGTTAATGGAAAATAAATTGAGGGGAAGACTTGTGGAAGTTGGAAATACAAGTATCTGAAAAATATGAGGAAGTACTATACTTGTATATAATGAGTGTAAACTAGTGGAATGAGTGCAAGCAAGAAGTGGTGGAACCAACTACCATTCACAGCTTCAAGAGGAAGTATAATGATAATACTGTAGAATGTTGAAAGGTAGAAATACAACAAAAGTTGGAGTTGTAGGGTTAAATGATACAAGCCTGTATATATATATATATTGTGCCCATGCTATATTTGCCACATTAACGTTATTCACTATTCATATAACTATAAAAATGAACTTACATGCTAGTTTCTTTTGTAGCATCCGAAGTTTAGTGGCTGTACGGTAAGCTGAGAACTTGATATGGTTGAACTCTGTGAGCGAGTCTAGTAAGTCCATCATTATAGGATGGTCCCAGTGGGTACTTTCCTGGTCATGGCTGAAAGATTTTGAATTGGTTATAAAAGATCTCTACGGTGCTATGATAAAAAGAAATAGCTGTACAATTAGTACATTAATGATGTATAGTAAGAGTACTGTACTGTATTAATTTTTTTATAAGAATTTGCATATACAGTACTGTACATTACTTACCAGCATCTTAAGACTAAGTACAAATTGCCAATAAAGAATATTTTTTTTTAATATTTACCAGATAAGAATTTAGTCTTCATAGCTCGCCAAGAACAATTAAAGGAAAATTAATAAATAAAATATAATCATATGGACACATTTTAGCATTCTTGCAGCACCAAAAATAAAGAATAAAAAGTTGCAGAGGACCTACTGGTCCACATATAAGAATGTAAGACATCTTGTACATAAATAATTTTTTTTTTTAAAGCAGCTCCCATCTAAACTCATTTATATACAGTATACAGTACTGTAATTGTAACCTACATACGAATCTAGCTCTCCTACATCTATGGTATTATGTTACCGCATATTTATTTTTATTTGTATATACAACAGTTCTTACATTTTCATAAGAAAGAACATTCTTATCATATCCATATCATCTACTCTTATTTCCAAGCCAGTATGGTATTAACCCAGGCATTTCCTGGGTAGTTTATATGCATTCACAAACATCTTTACAAGCCGATATTAATAAGACAAAGAGGTTTGATAGCAGGAAATTATAATGTAAATTGCTTTAATATAGTTCTCCATTCAGTAATAGCAGCATATTTATATAAAGAAAACTAATATTTTCCTTCAGAAAAACTCATGGAAAACTATCACTACTGAACTGGCTACTTTGTACTTTTATTCTCTGTTTCTATCATCATTGTCAAAAATAATTATTTGATCATAATGTAATTAGTAATAACTCACTTGATGTAATAAGGCACTTTGTTGCTGGTGGTAGCTCTCTCCCAGGGAGGAGAGACTGACGATGCCAGTTGGGCCGGAGTGAGTGGCGTCACCTCCCGTGACCGGCCGGCCACCTGACGCCACCTGTCATTCACCGTTGTCTCCAATGTCTTCCATCTACAATGATAAAACAGTATAATCTAAGAATAGGTAGCGTGCTATTAATAATATAATTCATAAAAATAAGCATATTTTAAAATGTACATGTATCAAAATACATATTGTACACTATTGTATTGTCAAAAAACATGCCTATGTTGTTGTTGTTTTTAGATTCAGCTACTCGGAACAAACGTTCCACGTAGCACAGGCTATGGTGAGCCCATAGTGGACTTAGAACATGCCTAATTTTCACCTCATAAGGGCACTTATTAGTTTCACTCACTCGCAGATAAACACTAGGATCATTTCAGTGATATCACTATCTGTAAAAACTTCAAATCCAATTAAGGGAAGGGAATTATCAGAGGAAAATGCCAAGTCATTATAACTATATAGCATTTGGAAGGGGTCAACATGGATTTGGAATGGGACGGTGGAAAAAGAATGGTGCCCAACCACTCGGACAGTCGAGGATTGAACGCCGACCTGCATGAAGCAAGATTGTCACTCTACTATCCAGCCCAAGTGGTTTGGCCCCATTCATTTCCCCCATCCCATCCCAAATCCTTATTGCTATATAACCCCCTTCTAAGTGATATATAATCATAATGTTTTGGTGCTTTCCCTTGATAATTCCCTTTTCTTCCTTGGCTTTGAAGTTTATACAGATAGTGATGTCACTGAAATGATCCTAGTGTTTACCTGTGACTGAGTGAAATTAATAAGTGCCCCTATGAGCTGAAAAACCAAGGAAACACAAAATAACATTTACAATATGGTATAATCTGATCAATTTATTAACTGGAGTAACTTGACCATCCATATATTATGAAAATATATTAATTATACAATATTATATATAGTACTGTAGCTTCTTCTTGCCTTGAATGCCAACTGCCTCTAACCAGCCCCCTCCAACTGCTTCATGCACAAGTTTAGTGGTTTTGGTTATCCATAGCCTTAACATATTACCGTTTCTTGTTCTGCACCATAATTGTATTTTATGTTGCCTACATCGTAACATACAGTACTTTATTGAATCAATATGATTTTGTGTCAGGGTTCCCTTGGTAGTTGGCTTACATTTGCCCTGCCCCAACTGATCTGAAGGCGTGTACTTCCTCCTCTAAGGGCTGACTCCTCTGGAATCAATACGTCCCTGGGCATGATCTACTTGTTTCCTGCAATGGGAACCTTTTCATTGGCAGTGTATAATTTTACTAGTACTTGCTTCAAATCATGCTTTGCTCTGCTCTGCTCTGCTTCTTATGTGGATAGACGCTTTGAGTTTTCCTCAAAGGTGCACTTGGGTTGCAGTGTGTCATTCTTTTCCAGGACTAATTATGCCTTTTCTCACCTAATGGTTCAGGTTGAGAATTGGTGTTTGTTCTGTAAAGATGCTTCCCTTGCAACTTGCAAGTTTGCTTGCCTGTGTATTGCACTAGGTAGCTAGCATCCCTTGGCCTCATTGGGGTTTTCAAGGCTTTCTCAGGAAGAAAACACTGCTCAGGGAGCTAAACAAAAATAAAACAGTTGAACCAGATGGAGTTTCACCTTGGGTAGTAAGGGATTATGCATGTGAGATTAGCACCCCTACAGATTATCTAACAAAATCCTTCCAAACAGGAAAACCTAGCTGACAGAAAAAGGTATACTGTAGTTCCAATCCATAAAAATGGAAACGGGGAAGACCCACTTAACTATGAGCTGTATCACTGACAAGCATTGTAGTAAAAGCATTAGAAAATATTCGGATGTACAGAGCATGTAAAATGATATAATAATGGAAATATATATATATTTCCACATATAATATATGTTTTTGAAGTCCACATATAATATGTGGACTTGAAAAAAGTTTATGACAGAGTACGGCAAACTTTGGTAGAGAAATTACACACACACAACCCTAGAAGTTATGTAACAAGTCTGTGTCATAATGCAGATGCTGCAGCTAAATCTTTACAGGCACATAATTGAGTAAAACCAACCTGCACCTCATATATATGACATAAGTGGAAGGGGTGAATTAACCTAATATTAAACAGTTATTTACATAAACTAAATTTTGTAATTTTATTCATACAACTACAGTACAGTACTATTTTATTTTGCTAAACACTATATGTATTGTACTGCACTGTCATTACACCAATGCTTAAAATAACTATTCTATGCAACTGTTACCTGTTATTGAGGTCATGAAGTCTGGCAGAGTTTGCTGGAGTGAGAGGTACATTGTGAGCAGAAAATCGGGCGGCTTGATCATTAACATCATCAACTCCCCGTTGTAAGTCAGCCAGGCCCTCACGGAATTTCTACAGGCAAAATTATCTATTGTTAGTTTCAAAGTCTGCATTTGTAATTGATTTATTTGATCCTCTAACAATCCTATGCTTTAATAATAGGAAGAATACATTATAAAGTAGTTTTGCAATAATTAGAGTACAAAGCACCTCATGTTATGGTAAAAAATAAAAGTGCATTTAAGATTTGTCCTAATCTGAGCTTGTGTATGATTTGTTTTCAAAACTACAGTATATTAAATTTTCTTCAGTTGATCTTGAAACCGCCAAATTTCTGGATGTGAGTACAGTACTCTTTTTCTTAGTCCACCAGGTGGTTTTGATTTAGTGTTGGCTCCTTTTCTTGGATCTGCAGGATCGTTTCTGGCATGGTTTAATATTCTCACAGTTCAGGAATTAGCTGGGGTTTAAGGTGGGTAATGTCTGCATCTTTGGTTAGTGTCAAGAGATCCTCCTCTTTCCTGTTGAGATATTGAAAGCCTTTTAGGTCACCTGAACTTTGCCTAAATAGTCTTCATGTCTAATCAAATTTGGTTGAAGGCAGGTTGCTTAATGTTCTCATGATCACCCTCTTCTGAATCTGTCTAATTTTGATGGAGTAAGTGATTGAAATTGGATTTGCAAGACATTCGCCGATCAGAAGATGAATCTCTTCCCTTCGGCATGAAACCATTAATTGCCTCTTAATGCGACTCCCTTTCCCAATTGCAAGGTAGGTGTGGTGGATGCTTTTCACTTGAACCAGTCCAGCTTCTCGCTGTGTTGATCCAGTTTGATATCTCTGGGCCACATCATTCTACTGGTTCTCTTGGCAAGTTCATCCCTGGTTCCCAACCTTTCTTACACACCGTCTTCCAATCCCGGGACTATGCCTCCTCCAGATTATTGATAACTTGCCTAGATTGTTCAATTCTGGAGTTTTGAGTTTTTTATATTGCCACCATTGAGGGGATCAGGTGACAGTTCTTTTTTGTCATATCTACATCCTTCCTTGTGCTATTACAGGTATGAGGTAGCTTTGTGGTCCTTCCAGCTTTTGCTTCCTCTTTGTAGTTGTCCTCGTGCCAGTGGTCATGTCCTTTCTGTCTTGGCTCTTTGTGAAGCAGTGTCTCATGATCAATACCTGGGATTGTACCTGGATGGGGTTCTGGGAGTTGTTCTAATCCCCAAGCTCGGCCTGGGGCCAGGTTTGAATCCAGTCAATTTACCCCTGGATTTGGGGTAAATCTTCAAATACCCCTCTGGTCTCTGGGTAACCTGATGGTGTGCTCATGGTTTTTTAGATGTTCAAACTACTGAGTCCCTTTTTTCTGTCTTTTCTCTCTTGCGAATAAAGATATTGTACATTGTTTTGTTTCACTTCTTCAGTACTTTCTGTGTGGTTTTACATCGACAATAATATACTGTACCCCTTTCCTCAAGTTATCCTGGGCTTTTCTTACCTCCAACCAGCTCCCGTTGAATTGGAGCCTGCCTGATCCTGTTCCTTCCTTTTTCTCTTTCCCTTAGCTTCATATTCCCCACAGCTGATTATATCTTTTACAAAACAGTGTCCTTATTGACTCTGGTTTCTGGTAGTCAAGTTTATGAACTTCATGCTCTTTGCTGTAAGATGTTTTGTTTCTTAGGTTATGGGAATCACTTCCTCCATTTTCAGCTTGCTTTGTTCATTATGGTCAAGAATAAGTTATCTGCTGGTGGACGCATGGTTTCGCCAGTCCAAAGGGTTAGAATGCAGTTACCAACATCCCAAAAACATCATCATCATCAGGGCATCATGCTTTCTGTCCAGTTGCCACTGTGCTGTTCTATAGGCCTACTAGACACTTCCAGACCTTTGGAACAGGGCCCATTTTCCTTGTGCTTGGTTCCAAAGGAAGACTTGATCAAAGTTGTGTGTTTGGACTGGCTAAAGCAAACCACCCATGTGTATCCGTGTATTCAGGATATACACAGATGGTATTACTGCTTTCTTTGATAATATCAGTATGGAAATACAGCATTTCCCTTTTATTCCTTTACTCTCTTTCGAATAAAGATATTGTACATGGTTTTGCTTCACGTGTTGAGTACTTTGTGTGGTTTTACAGGTACAATCTTGGCTCCCCCATGCTGCCTCTGTAGGCATGCCAGTCTCTGGCCCTAGTGTTCAATAAGTCTTTGCAAGTCCAGGTAGTTTTACAGATATCGCTGATACCATAGCCAATGCACCGGTAGCTGCTGAAGCTGCCCAGAATGGGGCGCTTCATTGCATTCAACACTTGTTTTTCTTAATACATTAGCCATGTATATGGTACAAGGAAAAATAAGCATAACATAGATAATAAAACACTACAAATGTGCATACAACTAATTACAAAGAAAATTACATAATAACATGTAATGAGGCATTCCTAAGATGTTAATTCATATATACAATTTAATAAAATTGCTGTATATTAGTTTACTGTAACCCGACTTTTAAAATATGTAATAACTAAGTCATGGATAGTAGGAACTGACAAACTCTTGCAGATGTATTTGGGAAAGGAAATGCTAGTTTTGGAACACTAACCCTGACATTGTGAGCATGTTGATCAGCGAGGTTAGGGTCTTGGGACACAGGTCCCCAGGACTCGGCAGTCTTCTCTGCTTCCTGAAGGCGTCCACTCACTTCCTCCACTGTTTTTTGCAGCACCCCAAGTTTCTGCAAGGGAATACACTAATTTAATTAAATACTTCCGGTTTCACATATTTCTAATTGCTTGCTTTGTAACTCTTGTGACTGTCTTAAAAATTTATACAATACTTTAAAGGAAAACAAAAAATGATAAATCTTATGGTTTATAAAGAAGTTTTCACAGTACATGGACGCATGTGTGGGTCTTGGGAACATGAAAATGAAGATCAAATAATCCCATTCAAGTTTATCAATTTTTTTTGGTAGATAACCTGTTCATTTAAAGTTATTTATTATTAACATCTTTATTGACAAAATTAATTACAATTTTGCATAATCTGAGGATTTTGATAGTCTTATTAAAGTGAGGATAATGCTAGTATTCACTGTCACGCAGGACAGAGGGTCATACATAAGACAATAGGTCTAAACTGTAGGCTGAAGCACATATATATCATGATTACAATCAATGTTTTAATGTATGGAGATGTGAAAACAACTTTCTATTGTGCACTGCCACACAAGGGCAGGGATGGGTTCATAAGTGATGCAGCTTAGAAGTAATATAAATAAAAATTGTTCTTCATTCTTTAAAATGGACAAGCAAATTTTGGGTAAATTGTTAGGATGTCGTCCAGAACACCTGAGTCAATAAAATAGTTACACAGTTGGTGGTACAAGAGGCCAGGAGGTCTAAAGTCCTTTACGGTTTCACATTCATCAATATAGTGTTCTAGTGAATGCATTAAAGGTTTATCACAGAGTTTACAATCTGAGTATTCTGGTAGCGGCTCAGCCTCACTAACCTGCCAGATGTGTCTATAGCCAAGGCGAATTCGCGCAATGACTACATCACAGTAAATATTCTTAACCTTTTACTGTTGATCTGTTCATTTTGAGCTCTTCCACCATTCGCCACATATCCCTCGTCTTTTAATTTTGTCTCTACCTTGTGTGGGAGTTTTGGTGCTCAGGTCAGTTTGCCATGGAATAGATAGGATACATACTGAAGCTGAAATACAACTTAAGCTTACGACCTGCTTATTAATTGTAAATATTGCAAACACTGCACATCGGTCATCCGCTTGCAACGTGCTAATTGGAGCCAAGTTTTAACTTTGGCTGTTGTATACCAGGCAAAGGTGTATTTCAACAAATGGTCCCAGTAGAGAATACATCATTGAAAGTTAAAACTGAAATGGATAGGCTAGCCTGTTCAATCATTCTGTAAGGTGTACTGTGGTGACGGTTACTTTAATATTACGCCACTATAGAATGGAGACGCACATCTACAGGAGGCTGGCTGTGGTCTTGTCGTTAATCATGAGGGAAGATGGCTGGGACAGTGATAATAGGCCTGGTGAAGAGGGTCAGAATATTCACTGATTTATAGCTCAAGCTGCCAAGCCGTTTTCGTCTTGTATGCACTCAAAGCAAACCTTTACCTTTAGGAAACTTTCTTACAGCTTTTTAATATCTCGATATAGCTGACCCAGTAATATTATAGTAAGCAACCTATTACCCACGGCCAGACTGCTTAGGTAAATTACAAAATTGATCGCACTTTTTGCTCAACTACTTCCAATTACATGCATAAGTGCAAGAAATCAAATAGGAATGTCAATTGGCCTGTTTAAAGTAGATGGAATTAATGATGCAGTGCAGCAGCCATGCAAGGGGGGTCTGAAGCTTGTGCCCGGGCGACCTTGGGGCGAGTCAGCTAACTCCATTTACACACGTGGCTATCGTCCCGTCACACAAGTATCATTTAACCTGTCTAACTATAAAAAAAGAACAAAAAACACGGGGCAACTTGCCATGCATCTCCGCCTTCTAATCAATCACCCACAAACAACAAACAAAATCTTGCATAGTGAAATACGATCGATGTTTATAAACTTTATTAATGCAACATTCTAGACTTCAGTGTATGAAAATATACCAGTGGATATGTACTTTATTACTGCACCTTAAGACTTTACAAGACGGTTTTGGCTGTATATAGAGTGGAATGAAAACCGTCGAATCACCTATTTATACTGTAACACTGCGGTTATCCTGTAAGGAAAGATATTCTGATAAATTTGTTTAAACCTTCTGTCTACAGAGCAAAAGCTTCCCTGAGGTGAGAACACAGGGGACGGGAGCCCTGTAAACTCTCAGGGGTGGACCAAGAATGGTAGCGGTGAAAACTAATATATAATATTTCCTGCTCTTTCAAAACATAACAATTACAACAAATCAGAGCTACAAAAGTTCTGATTTGCAGTCCTGATTTGCCTCCACCTAATTGTGATTATGAAATGATTTGTCTTTGTTACATTGTCTTATTTTAACATTACCTCTCGACTAAAGGAATTACTATTAAAGGTCGACAATGATTATATTTTAGGATAAATGCCGTTCTTTTTGTGTTCATTTCTGCAAGCTGTTGTGTGTGTGGGTCCGCCCAGTAATCTATAGCAACAACCACTAGCGTCTCAAACCCACGCTTTCTTAAATACAAAATCAATTTTCAATTGATGTT